AAATTTCATTATAGAAAATTATTATAAATTGGCCATTTTGACCAGTATTATAACAGCAAATCATAGAAAATTATTATAAATTGGTCATTTTGACCAATATTATAACAGCAAAATTTCATCATAGAAAATTATTATAAATTGGTCATTTTAATCAATATTATAACAACAAAATTCCAACATAGAAAATTATTATAAATTGGTCATTTTGACCAATATTATAACAGCAAAATTTCAACATAGAAAATTATTATAAATTGGTCATTTTGACCAATATTATAATAACAAAATTACATCATAAAAAATTATTGCAAATTGGTCATTTTGACCAATATTAAAACAGCAAAATTTCATCATAGAAAATTATTATAAATTGGTCATTTTGACCAATATTACAACAGCAAAATTTCATCACAGAAAGTTATTATAAATTGGCCATTTTAACCAATATTATAACAACAAAATTTCATCATAGAAAATTATTATAAATTGGTCATTTTGACCAATATTAAAACAGCAAAATTTCATCATAGAAAATTATTATAAATTGGTCATTTTGACCAATATTACAACAGCAAAATTTCAACATAGAAAATTATTATAAATTGATTATATTGACCAATATTATAATAACAAAATTTCATCATAGAAAATTATTGTAAATTGGTCATTTTGACCAATATTACAACAGCAAAATTCCATCATAGAAAATTATTATAAATTGGTCATTTTGATCACTTTGGTATTAGTTCCAGTTAACCTTGCAAAACGTTCCGGGAAATCGCTGAAAATTCTACTTTTAACAATCCTACGAGGCCCGAAACCAATGTCTCTTGAGTTTATTTCGCGACTGTTCTCACGCCACACCATTTTGTTCAAAGCGATTGCTCGTCATAAATCGCTATAAATCGCGGAATAAATCGGCGATGCAAATAGAAAAAATTGTCAAAGGCAAGGTCGAGGCAGAAACGAACCGCTCGAGTTGCTCCTTCTTTCACACGCCAGCATAATCATCCCCCTTAACTGCCCCAAGATTTAGCAAGCACTTTGTACGAAAGGGGGGCGAGTTGGCAGTCGATCTCGTCCGAAACGGGCCGATCCGCCGATGCGACAAAGACTAGCAACGCGGTTCTTACGTTCGACAGCTTATCGTCGAGAATGCAGGCGAATAAATCGGCGCGTTATCGGCCACGCTGTCAATGTCTAGGGGGGAAGTTCAACGTCCACGAAGGCGCGATAACGACGCAACAGATTCCCATCGATGACGCCAGAAGTACGTAATCGGGCCCCGGTTCGGTGAGCACAGCGAACTCTCGCAGCTGATCGACCCGCAACTACGATGTTTCCGGAGATTACGGGATACTCAATTAAGGGATTCGGTATCATAGAATTCGAGAGCTTCGGATTAAGGACGCTTATCGCGGGAGTAACTTGGGATTATACGGCGTCGTGCGATCTGCGCTGCGTCCTGCGTGCCGGCGCCCTATCTATTTGCCCGCGACTCGCCGCGAGTAATGCCGCGAGTTATGGCGATTACACCGACAGCCGAGCAATCGCAGCTTCTTCCACCGGGGGTTAATGAAATTGTCGAGCAGCTTGTCTGTTCGCCCGCGTTGGAGAGAGTATGCTCGAGTTCTGATGCCGATTTCCACGAGGTGTGACTCTCGATATCGGTCGATCATTTTCGATAATCTGAATACAATTTAATTACGTATGTTTACGCGTTTAAAAAATTATGCGCGGAGCAATGTATCTTTGCCTCGAATTTTATTATTAATAATAATTAATTTTATTACATAATATTTTATCCTTCATCTCTGAGGGAACCATGAAAATATCGTTAAGAGAAAGACTTTTTCAACAGCAAGTGGCTGCCACAAACTCAATCGAATTTCCTGCATTTATTTTCATTTTAACGGCGAGATCCTACCGATCCTCGACAATAATATTCGTCAAGCATCTCATGTCAGAGCCATAGGCTGCGAGTGCGTTAATTACGAAACGATCATCTAAAAACGATTAACTCTAATCTAGTAGTGTATGATTTGCATCCTGCACGCTGAATCCTATCTATTCCGCTACGATTCTCGAGTAATACCGCGAATTATAGCGATTACCCGCGCCTGACCAAGCACTGTAACCTTCTTCGGCGGTTAATGAAATTTCGAAGCACCTGAAGCGTCGTTTCTATCTCAAAATTCTAATCCGAACGAAAGAACGACGTGGTTAATAAAACATTTACATTTCTTTATTTCTTTATTAATTATTTTAGTTCTACGATTATAGAAATCTCTGTATCAGTAATTCAAAACGCACGGCTTGAGAAAAAAATTATGACGCAATAACAATTTTTAACAGTAAACTCCAACACTCGCATACTTACGATGACTACACCCTATCGCTATTGACTTTAAGACTGAAAAACGCTAAAACAATGCTAATTGAACGACATTTAATTCGCGTTCTATATATTGGAGTCTTGACTATTCATTCCACGACTCGCGAATAATACCACGAATTACAATAATTACGTTACTTGTTTCTAATTCTAACGATTAATATAATTTCCAAACGTTTTTTTCTACTAAAAGAAAGAATAGTTCCAAACACAAATACATCGTGTCTAATATGATCTACGAAAAAAAATATCAGACAAATATGTCATGTCCAATATGATCTACGTGAGAAATTACGATTAGGTGATTGATCCCGACATCGTGGAACCGCTTAATTGTAAAAACGATCATCTAAAAATAACTAACGCTAATTTAATTCGCGTTCTATCTACTAATCACCAATTACAATCACGAATTCTTCAACGAATAACCCATTGCGCTGGGCAACTGGTTCGCGGACCATAACGAGTGACCGAACCGTAATACAATAATTCGTCGCTTTCTTCTTTTCAACTCGTTGGTATGATATCACTTAATTATTAAGAAGTATTAAACTTATCATTTATTTTACCTAGGTTATACTTAAATATACTTAGAACTGAGAAAATTTGGGACGAGAGGTTAACATCTTGCGCTGGGCAACTGGTTCGCGGACCATAACGAGTGACCGAACCGTATACAATAAATTCGTCGCTTTCTTTTCCTTTTGAACTTGCCGGTGATGACATCACTGGATAGAAATTATTAAGAAGCAATAAACTCATCGATTGTTTTGCCTGTGTTACGCTCAAATATACTTAAAACTGAGAAAATGTTGCAATTTAGGGCAAACGTGGCACGTCGTTCCAGCGCAAGAAGTTAATATATATTTTGAAACGTTCCTATTCTCTATGAAAGTTTCTATTCGAAAGAAAAGAGAAAACAAAATAATGATCTTCGTTTTTAATACAATTTACGTGAAAAAAAAAAAAAAAATTGTAAGACGATTGATTCTCGACGTGGCTTAATTAGAAAACGATCGTCTAGAGACAAAACTAACGCTAATCCAGCGGCGTATGATTTGCGCCCCGCTGCCGTCGTTAGTGTAATTAGCAATATCTGATTAACTAAACCGGAATGGAAATCGGATTAAATGAAATCGGAACGCAAATCGCGGCAGCTCGTAAATCAGCTTATCCAGCTGCGACTTGTCCTTTATTCATTGTGTTTCGGCTTATTTGCAGTTTACGCTCGCTGCATTTACTGTCTATCGCCGATAAATATCATTATCGTCGCCATTAAACAACCCACCCCCTGCGCGTCGATTATCAATTTTAAAATCCGCGACTCGCGACGCAACCTTCCAATTACGCGTTGCTGCTCAATGGAAAACTCGCGAAGGTCGAGTCACATGCTTCTTAATAATTTCTATCCAGTGATGTCATCACCGGCAAGTTCAAAAGAAACAGAAAGCGACGAATTATTGTATACGGTTCGGTCACTCGTTATGGTCCGCGAGTTGTCCAGCGCAAGATGTTAACCTCTTGTCAAATTGCAACATATTGACATACGTCGTTCTAAACCCGAGGTTACAATAAACATCATACCATCTATCTTTTCTTACAAGGGAGCAAACAAAAACAGCAAAAACGTGTTTTTTTTTCGGACGCTCGTAACAAAGAATACTTTGCTCTCGGCTTGAGTCTTAAAATTCTCTGTGTAACATCTGTACAATTCTGCGCCGTATCGTTCAAACACAATAAAAAATCAAACATCTGCATTGTGCCTCAAAATTCCCATCTAACACCGGTTCGAATAAACATATAATTCTGGTAATCTTGAAATTCCTATCTAACGTCTGTTCGTTTATTAACATACGTACAATTCTGCGTCTGTATCTATCAAACTCAAACGTTGGCAAAATCAAACACCTGATCCTAAATTTCAATTACCACAAGTGCTCTGCCTCGAAAGTAAGTCGCGAGGCAGAGCGCGACAGAGGTGAAAAGGAAAGAGACTCACTGATCATCGTAGACGTAACAAAGAATATAAACTTTTGCTCTTGGCTTGAGTCTTAAAATTCTCTGTACAATTCTGCGCCGCCGTATCTTTCAAACACAATAAAAAAATCAAACATCTGATAACCTTAAAATTCTTATCTAACGTCTGTTCGAACATACGTACAATTCTACGTCTGTATCTATCAAACTCGTGTCGTTGGCAAAATCAAACACCTTATCCTAAATTTCAATTACCACAAGTGCTCTGCCTCGAAAGTAAGTCGCGAGGAAGAGCGCGACAGAAGTGAAAAGGAAAGAGACTCATCGTAGACGTAACAAAGAATATAAACTTTTTCTCTTGGCTTGAGTCTTAAAAATTCTCTGTGTAACATCTGTACAATTCTGCGCCGTATCGTTCAAACACAATAAAACAATCAAACATCTGATAACCTTGAAATTCCTATCTAACGTCTGTTGGAACATACGTACAATTCTGTGTCTGTATCTATCAAACTCGTGTTGTTTAATCGTTGGCAAAACCAAACACCTTATCCAAAATTCAATTACCACAAGTGCTCAGCCTCGGAAGTAAGTCGCGAGGCAGAGCGCGACAGAGGTGAAAAGGAAAGAGACTCACCGATCATCGTAGACGAAACCGGCCTGCAGGGTGTTGCAGTAGAGGGCCGTGGCGACGATGGCGCAGGCTACGGCTAGGATATCCATGTCACATCGTGGCGAGGACGGTGGCGGCGGCAGCGATGTCGACGGTAGCGGCGGCGGCGGCCTCTTAACTTGTTGCACGTCCGCGGGCCTTCCTCCTCCACCACCTCCACAGCCCCTCCTTCTCCACCTCCTGGCTCCAGCGGTTCGCCGTACGGCGGTCGAGACGTCCGCCGGACGGTCCAGCGACCGCCGCTCTGACGCCTGCCCGGATGTATCTCGCCCGGGACGAATGTCGGTGACACGTCGCGAGATACGAGCCAGTAATCAAGCCGCGGCTTCGTCGTGCTGCGACGCGCGACGTCCGACCACCGACCGATCGGCCGAATCGTTGCTGCGTACGAGAACGCGCGTCGCCACTCGTTTTAATCGAACGAAAAATGTCAGCCTGTGTGGCTGGTCAAACCGTCGTCTGCGGGACAATCGCGCCAAGCCTGGACATCGGTCCTCGGAGACGCTCTTCCTGAAGACACACACGCGCCGATCACCACCGGCTGCGTCGTGATGGTCCCACGCTCGGTATCTTGGTCCCCGATCTTCACTTATCTTCTCACCGAGAGAGACAGAGAGAGCTTCTGTCTGCAGTTTCCTACACTTTCTTTTCTTTTTTCCCCCTTCACCCCTTTGGGGAAACGATCACTTATCGATGATTCGAGGCGAGTGCCGAGAGTGCCGAGAGTGCCGAGAGCGATTCTTCGGCGAGCGTAAAATGGAAGAAGCACACGCGGACCACCGTTTACCACGACAAACTGGCGGCAATCGAGGTCGTCACATCTGCGACGTCACACGGCGAATACCTCGGGCGGTGTTTACGGACGCGGTAGCCCCAAGGACGTTTACTTATCTCGCGAGCCAGCCAGCGGAAACGATACGGATAAGGACGTTGGTCTGCGATAGACAAGGAGACACGATGTGACCGCGACGCGGCGCATGTTCCGAATGCGGAACGCCAACTGTCGCGCGCCCCCCGAGGACGAGCGCTTTATACGAGCGGGAGACGGGCATCGATCGGACGGGCGCTTGCGCTTGCCCGCTTCTCTGCTCTTCCTCCTCCTCCTCCTCCGCCACATCCTCCGATATGCTTCCTGGTCCTCCTTCGCTTCTCTCCTCCTCCTCTTTTCTCTCTCTCTCTCTCTCTCTCTCTCTTCGTATTCTCTTAGCGTGCTTCTCAACATGTGTGCTTCAACCTTGCCACCCACCTTGTCTACGACCGGCCGCGAGCACGATGCCGACCACGACCAACGCCGCGACCACGACCACGACCACGACCACGACCGCGGACCAACGGACTGGATTAACCGCAACCCCGGCACGACGCAGCTGACCGATAGTTGCCCTTTTGGAAAATGACGCGCGAACCTGTCTGTGAGAACGTGTACGTCGGTGTGTGTGTGTGTGTGTGTGAGTCCTTCGTCTCATCGGACTCACGGTTGGAACGTCTTGGCGATGCCCAGCTGCCTCGAATAACACCCTGCAAGAATAACAGTTACACGCTCGATAAAGCGTTTAGTCGTCGGGTCGCGGGGACGAATGCTGATGCCCGACGAATAGGGGAAGAGGGAGGAAACTGAAAGGAGAAGAAAGAAGGAGAGAACAGGTGTTGAAGGGATTCTTTCAGATTTCTTTTCTCCAACGCGAGCCAGAGACGACTGATCCGCCACTGATGGGAGGGGAGTATCGCGATATTAAATAGGGTTGCGCGGTAGCTTGTAATGCTCTGCGTCCCGTCCCGTCGCCTCGCTGTTGCCGTTTCAGTTCTGCGCTCCCTCAAATTACCACGATTAATCACCATAGTCGCGAATAATTAATTGCGCGCAAGGGGCTGCGTGAAGCGTACATTCGTCACCGGTATTGTTTTAACCGTGCCAGTTGCGCTCTCTCCGTGATAGTATACTTAGCCGAGAGCGTTACACAAGCGCGCGCCCACACACACAGACTCTCCGCCCCCCTTTCGCGAACGAAAGACATTCTCGCGGAGTTTTCAATTAACCAACTGAATGTGCTAAATATCGTCATTTGCGCGCGGATAATGTGTTATTCAATTCCGGCGCAAATTATCCGTATCCTTTTCCGCGTAATCCTCGGTGTTTCCGCGTGGCTTTTGTGCTCGCGGGATCTACCTACTAGCGCAACTAGTGATGGGATCAAGTATGTACCAAGTACACGACCGACGCGACGTAAACGATGTTCTCAGCCCCTTATAAATACACGGGAGAAGAGCAATTAAATTCCATCTGAATCTTTCGCGAGTCACTTGACGACTGTATTAACCGTAACCATTGGTATGTAAAGAAAGAAAAAGAATGTCAACCGCAGTGATAAATATGTTTGCATTACGACGTGTTGCACAGATGTACACACGTAGACGGGAATGTTCATTGAAAAGTTTTACGAGGGGTGTATTCGATGTAGAAATGTATCACCGTTTCAAGGGGAAAGCGCGAGTATATTTTTTATTTGCTTGCGTATTTTTTGTTTCCAATTTAGTTTCTTTTCTATTTTTTAGACATTTATTTTATCTCCGGCGTTATCCCTGTTCCTACGTGAAACGAGAAAATTTTGTTTGAATTCAGTTTCTTTGTCAGCCGTCGTGCTAAAAAGATATTTAAGGAGATAGAGTTTATTTCAGTTCCCACGGCACTTCCTTTCATCGTCGTTATTAAATAACGGCAAAGTGTAATCGATAATGACTTTATTTTTTTTTTTTTTTTTTTCTTACACGACCGCTTTACTAACGCAAATAATTACAATTGTTTCGCGCAAGTCTTTTACAAAGTGAATTTAAAAACATGTATTATACTGCTCGGCTCGGTAGACGGAGAATATTTTGAAAACATTTCACAGTTTAAAGTGTTCAAGTGAATGAATACCGAAAGCAGACGCATATGTTGTGTATTTTGGTACATTCAGTATTCATCAAATTGAAGTGCCGACGTGTAATTGAGAATCTTTGTATTTTAACAAGTACTGCCATGACACTACGTGAAATACATACTCAATCACGGTTACATCGGAAAGTGTGTCATTGATAGGTACACGTAAACGAGAAATAAGGAATCGTTAAATTAAATTCATGGATCGTCATTACGTGCCGTTTTATTTTAATATTTCTTTTATAGAAAACTATTTATTCTTTATTGTTCTCTATAAATGATGGGAATAACTATTATTTATATTTAATATATTATATATATTATATATAATATACAGAATTGTTCTCTGTACTATTATATATACTATTATACTATACTATTATATATTATATAACTATTATTATACTATACTATTATATATTATATATAATATACAGAATTGTTCTCTATACTATTATATATACTATTATACTATACTATTATATATTATATAACTATTATTATATTATAGTATTATATATTATACTTCTATACTATTATATATTATATATATATTATAATTATTATACAGGATTTACTTTATAATCTAATTAAACACTCGACTTTCACGGTTAAGGTTAGGTTTTACCATTTTTAATTATAATTATTATATATATTACATGTATTAATTATTACATATATTATATATAATATACAGGATTTACTTTATAATCTAATTAAACACTCGACATTCTTAAGAAACTCAAATACCAAAGTTCCAGAACACTGAGCCAACGAATATAATCTCAATGTCTGTACAAATATATACGATTGAACGACAAAAACAGCAATCGAAACGCTACTAAACGAACTTTACGCATCGATATTGAACTATTGATGCCATCGCCGCGTCTGCCATAGAAGAAAAAAACAGGCGTGCATTTTTCCACGAAGCCTCTGTCTCCTTCCGTGAAATTTTTATCACACTTCTTCGCGGCGATCTCTCCTCCCCTTCCCTATAACGCTATTAATAAATAACCGCGGACAAATTAACGTTAAACACGAGCGGTGGAAATCGATCCGTGATTAATATTAAACAGGTGTCGGCTCGGTGAAACGAGCTGAAAAAAAAAAAAAAAAGAGAACGCAATCGCCGTTAGGGTGATAGAGCCCCTAATCAGCCCTGCCTGCCACTAGCTCCACACCCGCCATAAAGCAGGGCACACACGAGCACGCGGCAGGTAACGAAAGTCACCGAAACGAAGCACACAATAGGTAAACAATTCCGCGCACGGAATGAGCACCGACCGATTATACACAGAGAGAAGGAAGAAGGGTCCGAGGGTATTATATGTAGGTGCACGTGCACGCCATTACTCTGTTCGTAGCGGCACCCTCGAGGAACGACCTCTGCTCCACCTTCTTCTGTTCCACGTGCTCGTGAGCCCACGAACCTCGAGGAGAAGGAGATGAGTTCTGTGAGTTTTCGACGGATCACGGATGCCGCGTGTTTTCGTCAACGCGAGTTTGTCAATCGCGAGTTGAAAGTACACGAGTGAATATCATCGTATCGGGCGCGTAACACGGAATGTCCCCTTTCTGAGGCGCAACTTTGTGAACAAATCTTACGATCAGAGATTGATGAACCTCGTTGACGGACTGCAAATGCGTTTAATGAAACGAAAGAGACATTCGAAATGCGATAAATTCAATTGTTGATAGATGTCAAGATTCTTCACGAAGCATACGCTTTGAATGTATATGTTTATACGGCATATTATATATTATATATTTTATATTTTATATTATATTATTTACTATTATAATATAATATGATATGTTATTTTTATATATGTTATATTATATTTATATTATATTTTATATTTTTATATTTTTTTATTTTATATTTTATATTATATTGTTTATTATTATAATATAATATGATATATTATTTTTATATATGTTATATTATATTTATATTATATTTTATACTTTTATATTTTTTTATTTTATATTTTATATTATATTATTTATTATTATAATATAATATAATATATTATTTTTATATATGTTATATTATATTTATGTTATATTTTATACTTTTATATTTTTTTACTTTATATTTTATATTACATTATTTATTATTATAATATAATATGATGTATTATTTTTATATATGTTATATTATATTATATTATATTTTATATTTTATATTATATCATTTATTATTATTATAATATAATAATATAATAATATAATATGATATATTATTTTTATATATGTTATATTACATTATATTATATTTTACATTTTACATTTTTTATTTTATATTTTATATTTTTTTCTTATATTCATAGAATCTACTGGCAAAGAGACACACTGTGTAAAAACACATTGAAATTTCGTTACTTGAATCCAGCTAATTTCATGCCGAACGAATTTAACTAAGTGGACACTCTACGAAAATAAGTCAAGTATGTGGAATAAAATCAGCATAAATGTAAATAGTTCCAACAACTGATTTGAAGGAAAAGTTTCTACAAACACACACACAGATCTGTATCAATCGTCGATACAATGACTTTCTCGAATGAGAACGCCCCTTTAAAACATTAAGCTGGAACATAATGTTCATTAAGCTGGAACATAATGTGTCGCGAGTCCCACCTGCGTCTGTTCTCTCGTAATTCGCAGGAGCGAATTATAGACGCGAGCAGCACGTGCTCAATCGCGACAACGATCGCGTAATCAATTAGATAACGAGCCGTATATCCATCCCGCGTGATGGTTTGGGGTGGAGAAAAGTGTTTCTCGAGTCGGGAAAAAATATTACTTTCCTGGTGGCTGTGTAATAAACGAAACGAGCGTCTACATCGCGAGGCAGCCCACAGCTACTGAGGGACACAGAAAACAGAGAGAAAGAGAGAGAGAGGAAGAGAGAGAATGTAGCAAAGACCAGAGACGACATCGAGTATCTCATAAATAAGTTCGAACTGTTAGTCACTGGATTCGAATCTTTCGAAAAGTGTCCCCAATTGTACTTTCAAATATATTCGAATTTAAGAATATTTTGAAACGTTTCGCGAGCACTTTCAGGAATGAAAGGGATATCAAATAAAATTGAACGAGATCTGGGTGAAGTTCACAAGTAGCTCGGAATCTTTCTAATTATATTATAAATCTTATATAATTTCGGATGTTTCACGAATATCTCCGGAAATGGGAACAATATTGAAACTGCATTTTTTAAAATAGAAATGCCAGAAGTTATTGATCTGATCAAAACACGTTCGTGCTTTCAAATATATTTTCATAATACTTTGAGAATCGCGTGCAGAAAAACACCTGCCCGCCATAAGTAAACGTAAATTCTGGTTATAAAGGATTAACTCTAGTTATCCACTCAGATTGAAAATTTGACAACTAATAAACGTTGTGAATTATTCATCTCGTGTTTCGGTAATGGTGATGTAACTGTGGATAGATGAACTTTCCAGTTACGCGATGGATTATAGAGGGTTGAAACGTAGAACAACAGGAACATGCTTCTGCATTGTATAAGTAAATAACTACGATTAATTGATATAACGTTCCCCACCTATAAATGAACGAAATTCTA